ATCGCCCCCCCCCCCCCCGAAAAACCAAGTCCTCTGCCTGATGCGTCCAGTATGACGGTGCCACATAGGGTACAGCAACCTTCTCCTCAGAAAGAAGCGCTCGCGAAACTGCGCCGCCCCACTTCTTTGCTGCCGCCTCCGCACTTTCGGAAACCTGAAAAATCGGATTCAAAGGAGCCACCCTAAAGGAAACTGAGATTTTAGAGTTTAGAGCTTGAGGTTTGGGTGCTCATGGCAATTCGAGGACCCGTCTTCTCGCAACTCGCTGCCTCAGCTCCTGCTGCCTTCAGCAGCATGATCATCGGAACGCTGCCGCGCTGCGTGGCCATGTTCAAGGCGTCGTAGACTTCATCCGATTTCGGGCTTGGTAGCCTCATCTGCGCACCCTCGCCAAGCAGGAACTGCACAGTGGCCACCTGCTGCGGCTCCATCGCCGCATAGTTCTTCTGCGAGAAGGATTTGCAGGCCCAGTGAAGAGCTGCCCCACCATTTGCCGGATAGTCAATCTCTGAACCTGCTGCTACCAAGACCCTTACTACCTCATGGTGCCCGTATTTGGATGCCAGCACGAGGCCCGTCTCGTTGTACTTCTGTGAACCGAAGAGGCACCAGAACTCCTTTGCTGAGCCATGGACGAGCTCGGACACGGTCTCCACTCTCCCATATTTGCCTGAAGCACAATCACTGACTAGAGAATATCTGCTGGTGCTGTACTGCTACCATCATCTGCATCTACGCTCAGCTCAAAACTACGAATGGAGGCGCAGGCTGCTTCGCCAGTAAAACAACAAAATTCAACATCAGGCCTTCAAGTACCACTGACAAGCAAAACCCTAGAGCCGAACACGGCAAGCTGCAAAAGTTGCGAAAATTTGCATGCAGCTGGTCAGCAGATTCCCACGATCGGGAGATGTTAGGCGCCCTGCCGAAGCCTGACAAGACAGAGCCCCGGTTCAGAGTGCAGGTTGCGGGGCTTAGGTTCTGAGGTGTTTGGTTTAGGGTTTAGGGTGTAGGGTGTAGGGCTTAGGGTTTAGGGTGTAGGGTTTAGGATGTAGGGTTTAGGGTTTAGGGGCTTAGGGTTTAATGAAGGCTGAAGCTCAAACACTGGCCCGGAACCCTCGGCCCTAATCCTTCATCCGGGCTCCTGAAGCCCCAAAAGCCAAAGCCTGTAGAACCCATGTTTAGCAAACCTAAGGCCCGACACCCGGAACTCTAAGCCCAGATCCTGGAACCCTAAAGCCTGAACCCCAAACCCCTAACTCCTGAACCCTAGACTCTAAACCCTACGCCCTAAACCCTAAACTAAACCCTAAACCCTAAACCCTAAATCCTAAACCCTAAACCCCAAAGATTTCTAGCCTGAGTCCTTCATCTTTGCCACCCATTCGTCCAAATCCTCCATTCCGGCCAGGAGGGCCCTCATGTCCTTCTCGGCCTGCAGCTGTTAGACCCTTTTAGGGTTTATAGGGCTTATAGGGTTTAGGATTTAGGGTTTAGGGTTTAAAGCTACAGGTGGGGAGTTTAGGGTATATAGGGCTTCTATAAGGCTTGTATAAGGTAGATAGACCTTCAGAATGGCTCCTATAACGGTAACTACCCACCTGAAAATGTCCTAGACTCTAGACCCTAAAGCCAATACCCGAAACCCTACACCCTAAACCCTAAGCCTCATTCCCTAACCCTACACCCTAAATCCCAGACTCTAAATCCCATACCCTAAACTCAGTACCCTAAAACCCCGTACCCTAAACCCTACACCCTAAAGCCGAAAACCCTAGACCCTGTACCGAGGAAAAGGACGCTCAACCCATGGTTTTTATGAAGGTTCTATTCAGGGTTCCTTTAAAGGGGTCTGCAAGTGTAGAGGGGGTTCAGGGTTTAGGGTTTTGGGGTTCATGGGTCAGGCTAAAGTTGAAGGCTTAAGGAGGTTCTACCGCCTTGGAAGGGACTCGCAGCTTGGGGCTCACTTCGGCGATGCATAAACCCTGGCCCTACGCCTAAAAACCCTAAGCCTTCAACCATAATGTTGACTTGGCATTAATAATCCCCCCCTCAATTTAAAAATCCGTCTCCCGGAACTCAATT